AACACATACCTTAGATCAAATCATTATTTTGAGAAGTTTCAGTTCTAGTCATAGTATACACTCTTCCTTATGTCGAAGGTCTTATTTTTTGTGTAAAAGGATTAGAATTTTGTTTTTGTTGTCGACATTCAAAGAATGTATGACCAAGTTTTTGAAACTTGAAATAGACAGGTCCTTTAAGATGACAATATTTAGCATAATGATCTTGTCAACACTTAAAACACTTGAGCTGATTATTTACATGTTTATTAAAATTTCCTGTACAAAGTTGACTGGGTTGGAATTTCCATTGGGGGCAATTGTAGGGTTTTCTTTCATTTTGTCTCCTTTTATTTTTTTGGGATCCAAAATATTTTTGTTTATTATTTTGATGGTTTTCAAAATCCTCCAAGAATCTATATTTATAAATAAGTGTAGGAAAATCAGAAATTTCTAATATTCCTATTGCTTTTCTTAATTCAGGCCTAAGTTATTCTCAAATTTTATACATTTCATTTTTTCATTAGGGTGATAAAAGAATGCAAAGTATTTTCCTAACCCTTCAAACTTAAAGGCATATTCTCCTACTGTCATACATCCTTGCTCAATTGTATAAACTCTTTTTCTTTTGCTCTACTCACATCATTGGGAAAATACTTTTCTAAACATTTTGTTCTAAACACAGTGATTATTCTCTCGCCTTCTAATAATCTCCTAATATTATCCCACCAATATTCAGATTCTCTTACTAACATAAACACAACGTAATTTACCTTTTGGTTGTCACGATAATTCATAACTTGGAATACTTTTTGCTAATTCTTTAATACACAATTCAGTCTTTTCTGGGTTATAACCTCCAGAAAATTGCGGAAGTTTGTTTCTTCTAAATTCAACTAAATCTTGTGATTCATTGGTTCCTTCAAATCTTTGGTTCCCTAATAATGCAGTGGTCACGTCTCGAATAACTTGTATCGCTTCTGTCAACTCATTGTTCCTCCTATTATTTATCATATAGAATTATACAAGTTAAGATTCATAAGATCTCATGATAGACTCATTTCACAGGTCACACATGAAATGTTGCTCTTATACCATCTAATGTAATGTCTCTCTCTCTCTCTCTCTCTCTCTCTCTCTATATATATATATATATATATATATATATATATATATATATATATATATATATATATAATGTGACTGTTTTTTTACAGGCGTGACATGTGAAATAAAGATATTTTATATATAAGAGTAATTTACATTACTATTTTTTTTATACAGAACATATAAAAGAAGGAATTTTATTTATTTTTTATTCCTTCTATTCTTACTATAATTATACAAATATTTACATTACCGAGTGGGAACAAACTAATTAAAGGATTTTGGTGAATGGTAGGAGACATGCAGAAAGTGACCACTATTAGTTAGTCTAATATGATGAGAGTTCTCATGTCAGATGCAAATGTCAAGACTGATAATTATGTCCCTCTAAAAATAATCGAGTTATCAATAATGTTTGTATTTCAAGTAGTTCCTGGAAAGAAGGCAATGATGTTTGGAGAAAAGGAATTTGGGATATTTGACACCTTCATCTACTTAAGATGGTATTTAAATATAATATGCACAAGAAATCACAATAGGGAGTGAGAACAATTATCATTTAAAATAATACAATCTCATGATGATATATAAAATATACTTTTCAATTTCCTTAACATATTTCATTTATTTCATATTATGAATATTTGAATTAAATTTATAGTGACTAATCAGGATAAATGAATCCAATTTTAATAATTCTCTTAGTGATATGAGCTCACTTCAATTCCCAATGTCCAACCTCCATCTATAATATCATTCAATCTTCATAAATAAATATTATTATTTAAAACAATTAAATAATATAAATATGAATTAATAAACAAGAACCAATGCATAACTGAAGATAAAATAAATAAGACTAGTGCACAATTGGAGATAAATAAAATATGATCATTGCGTAACTAGAGACATAAATAAATATAAAACAGGCTTATTGCATAATTGAAGATAAATAAATATAAAACAAGACCAAGTATATAACTAAAGATAAATAAATAAATATAAACAGGACTAGTATATAAATAAAGATAATTAATTAAACATAAAACAGGACCAGTGCATAATTAGAGATAATTAAAATAAATAAATATAACGCAAGACCAATAAGTGACTGGAGATAAATACATAACATGAAGCAGGACTAGTAAGTAACTAGAGATAAATAAATAACAGAATAAATAGAATGAGGTGAAGAACAAATCATTCCACAACTATAATTAAAATGAAATAGATAAAATGATAAAAGTCTACTCTCCTCCCCTACCTCAATATTTGGAAATGATAAACAAAGATTTGTTTTCAAGTTGTCTTTTCTTTTTTTTCTCCATCTCCTCTTTTTTTTTTCTTACTTCTTTCTTATCCTCTCTTTTCATCGCACCAACCATAAATATGTGACATTTTCTTCTCTTCTTTTTCTCATTAATGATCCTTATCCACTCTTATTATATATTTTTTTCATTCAACACTTATATAAGATAAACAACATTATCTTTATATATATATATATATATATATATATATATATATATATATATAATAATAATTATTATTATTATTATTATTAATTTCATAATATATACATATTTATTTAATAATAATTATTTTATTATTATTATTTATTATGATTATTATTGTTTTATTATTTTAATTAATAATAACCATATTAGTAATAAATAATAATTTTTTTAATAGATATATTTTTTATATAACAATTTAATCATATATATATAATAAATAAATTTTTTCACTATTTAAATTATTAAAAAATATTATAATTTAATGCATTCTAAAATTTTACATGATAATTTTTTTTAGATATTATAATATTAATTTATTACCATAAATATTACTCCTTTTAATGAACTTGTTTAAGTTATTTAACATAAGATGCAATATGAATTTAATGTTGCAGCGGTTAAAATGGGTAATCCAATATAACTTGACCTAGTTGTATGAGTCAAGTAAAAAGATTCGATGGTCTAATTTGACCTATATTTTTAAACATACCATAATATTTTGTTTAATTTGATCTTATGTTAAGACAACATGCTAATAGGTCAGTTTTGGCATAATTGAAAATAAATATATTAACCTGTCTATAATTAATTAAAAAAATATTTAAATAAAAATAAAAACATATTTTAAAACTTTAAATTATATTAATGAAATTAATTTTATTTAAAATATAATGATTTAATATATAAATTATAAGAAAGAGAATCTATTTAATCTCAAAATAAAGGTTAAAAAGTTAATCTTCATTATCTTTATTAATTTTTTAATAATTTATTGATCTAAAATAACAATTCATCTTAATTATTAGATTGTGGAATAAGTGGAGATTAAAAACTTTTTTTTATATTTACTTTTAGAATAAATAAATTTTTAATAAATTAATTTATCATACATATATTTTTATTATAAAATAATATTACTTTTATTTAAAAAGTTATTATTATTCTATAAATCGTATCAATTCATAAGTATATGGGTTAACTTACCTTAAGTCCATGATTTAAATGGGTTGGACCAAAATAGATCTCATTTAATTTAAGTCACAAATTTTTAAACCTAACTTTATCTATTTCTCAAGAGCTACGTAGTCCAGTCTCACTTTATCCTTACATGATGGGAAATTCAATTGTGAGTCTAAGTCTTACATTAAGTTAGAATGAGAAAATTGAAAAATATATAAAGAAGAAAAACTCATAATCTATTATCTTAAGATTTTAGATTGAAAATAACGTCAATTCTTTATATGAGTTGGATTCATATCTTATTGGTATAAATTACGTTAAAAAAATCTGATGATCAAACAGATCCGTAACTTTTAACATAATTTAATCATCGGACTAACTAGCTTAGCTTAATTTAATCTAATGTAAAGTCAAAATAATAACTAACTAGCCAATTTTAACCTGATTAAAAAATAAAAAATATTAACATATTTATACCAAAATAATTAATTAAAAATATGAAATATAAAAATATAAAATATAAAACTATATTAATAAAATTAATTTTTATTTAAGATACAATGATCTAATATATAAATTATAAAAAAATACATCCATTTAATTTTAAAATTAAAATTAAAATTTTACTCTTTATTATTATCATAGCAATTTATTAATTTAAAATAATAATTAAGATTAAATTTTGAAATAAATTATTATTTAAAACTTAATATAATATTTATTTTTAGAATAATTAATTTTTTTAAAATTAATTTATAATATATATATATATATATAATAAAACATATTATTTTTATTTTTATTTAAAAAATAATTATTATTCTATATAAATTAAATTAGATATTCGTGGATATGCTGTAGAACGTTTTCATGGAATTAAGATTGAAATCTTGTTATTCCATTCCAAGGCCTTTAACCATTACATGTTATTCCAAAGCCTATAACCATTAGGTGTTATTCCAAAGCCTATAATCATTACTTGTTATTCCAAAGCCTATATTATCTAAACTAGAACGGTATATAAGAAAATGCACGTGATTTTTGTATGAGTTGTGCCAGCGTAAAAGAAAATGAAACCACTAGTAGCTATTCCAAAGGCTATAGCATCTAAACCAGACTCCTATAATGTTAATGTTATGCAAATACAATTCGATTATAGGATTATAGGTTAATCTTGTAAAAAGATTATAGGTTGTAAAAACTGTTAATACAATTCTCAATTCTAAATCCTTGAAGGAGTGGATCCCTACTAACCTAATAAATCTAAATCCTCCAAATTTCCATGGATGATCGATGAAAAATAAGACCAGAAAAACAAGATTTGATAAATATTATGTATTGTAATGGCGTTTGGAGGCGGATTTGTGGAGAAAAATAGTGGGAAGGAAGGAAGAGCAAGATCGGCAACGAAAGGCAGGGCCTTCCGATAACCAAAATCTAAATCCAAGAGCCACCCAGAAAGTACAAAATCCGTACTATGATGCCATATTTTTCTGTGAAGGGCTTTAATGGCAGGGCACCCTGTAGAGCACCTACAGGTTTTTCAGAGCCACAGTTAAACTCTGCTCTCCCCATATGCCTCAGCCCTGACCATGAATAAAGCAAACACAAATTAGCACACTACAAAACTTCATCTGAAACACCACGCCGGAACTACGCAATGAGCTAAGAAGGCGAAAATGAAAAAACCCTAAATCAGCTCCTAGCGGCTCTGCGTTTTTATAGCGCATTAGGGTATGTTGTTGTCGTCGTGCCGCAAAAAGAGGGGACTCTCTCTTGTTGGGCTTGGACCAGAGCCCACGTTTACAATTTTATATTCAACTATTGATTATTGAGTAATTGAATGACATTAATCAAATCAGTCGTTTTTAATTAATATAATTTTAGGAAAATCTCTAACTACCTAGATTTTAGATTGTAACAATGCGATTTTTTTAGAATTTAAAATAGGTCTTTTAAACTACCTTCTATGTTTATATTTTCAATTATTACACAATGTGGTATATTGAGATTACACAATCCTCTACTCTACCTGATTAATACTTACAATAACTTCTATTATGAAAGTACATGAAGAATTATATGCTTCAAATTATTTAATTCAAAACTTCAAAAATTACATACTCTAAATTATTTAACCCGGAACATAGATTAATTTATACGTTTCATATTATTTAATCTGATTTTTAACATAAAAAAATTAAATATTCTAAATTATTTAATCTAAAACAATTTTTTTAATAGTTAAAATTATATATTTTGAAATACGTTTCTAAATTACGCATTTTATAAATCTTTGGAAAGTTATTCCATGATCTATTTTACCTCGTAATGAAATAAATTTCACATTCTCAAGAAGTTCGAAGTGTACGTAGAAAATATGGGAATACCACGAATACAATACAAGGCTGCAAACACATATCAGAAAAGGACCTTTAGGTCACTTCACAGTTAAAGTTAAAAATAAAAATAAAAAATCATAGAACTTGAACATCGAAATGGAGTTGCAGATCATAATATATATATAGTTATATTCAATCAATACTAGGCAAAAAATTATAATTAATCCAATAGATAGTTTCCTACATTTTAAAGCATTTCGTTTCCGAACAAGAACCATGGCCATTACATCTCATTAATATTTAAGCTTCTTTAGTATGCCGCCAAAACAAGTAGACATCCATCTCCAATGTAACCTCGATCCCTGGACTAATATTTCACAATATATTCACTTTCTATTCACCAGCATTGACCAATATTGGCACATAATTGTCATTACCAAAACAAACTTAGTTAAAGCAATTGTTTCAATTAGTAGCTGTACAATTAGTTCAGTTCATGAATCAGCGAGTAAAGGCCTTCCAACGTGACATCACATTTCACAAGATTCAGATTTTAGAGATGGTCTTGCAGGCTGAAAAGGTCAATCACAAATAACCTTATTCAACTATTATTGTGAGCAATAAAAAAAAAAGTTGAAAGAAAATAAGAAACTGAACCTAAATGACATTAATGAGTTATACACTAGTCTTGGTTGTCAAATGAAGACTGACAGTGCAAGTTCATACGAACAATCTCCATGAGGGCATAGGCTGAACTTAAGAAAGCTCAAAACACTAAGTGAGTGCTCAAGCATGTGCTAGACTATTGAGTATGCGAGAGAAGTGACAGAAATGGTCATAATTTGTTGGGATCTAACGTGGCAGAATCTGTTAGGAGAACAACTCTGCTTAGGCAATCAATGTTGATTAATTTAACCAGCACCAATCTCACTAAAATAATTCAATTTGCTGACTACAACTAGTGACGCTTTCACCTGGGCATGAATATTGTCAACACTAGGGAGATTAGTAAATCTTCTACTTAAGTTTTTAATAGAGTAACTCATGAATAGTTTTCATTCCAATTAACTAATAAATCAAACAAAGAAAATGATAAGACTGATCCTTAGAACTATGCTCAAGAAACCAAAAACAGCAAGATTTTATTAGAAAGAAAACATGTATTACACCTATGTCCTTGATATAATACTTCTTTTGGAATAAAACTCTACTCGGACGCTTCAAATCAACCCTAAGGATCGATGTCAACAAAATCGATATAATATAAAGCATGAAATGAGTAGCTCATAAGAAAATTACTTGTTGGCGGCACCATAATTGACTTTGTTAGAAAAGAGAATGCCAATGCATCACACATTCTTCAAGGTGCAAACCTGTTATGATCAAATTAGGGTAAAAAGATTTGTGAGTTCCACTAGGCATTGCTATTATCAATGTGAATTCTACTCCTTACACAATCGAAAGATTACTCCAATATTCAACTTTTTTATTATAAATAGAACTAGATCAGAATAATATTTTGACTTAATTGTTTATATCGCATACTTAAGATTACTTTTATCACCGATATAATACTCCCCTTTGTCAAGACTACTTTCGAAGGATGTAAGCACTATTACATGGTGAAATTTTTTATATATTTCTTAGCTCAAGTCAGTTACAAACATCTTGTCAGGTAAGATGTCATGTTTAATGGTCCAAAATCTCCTAAAAATTTGGTGAAGTTTCACTTAGAATAATGGTAGAGAGCCCTTCATAAACTAAAACATATCCCAAATTGCTTTCTTCTCATAGTTCCTTCACCTGTTTCTTTCCAACGCTAAGCCATTACAACATACAGCACAAAGGCTCACTACTAAGACTGTATGCTCTCCTTCGTTTTTAGAGCATCCAAGACAAACCCTACCAAGATGTTCAATCCTGCAAACTCCACAGTCAACATGTCTAGTACTTGACATTAAGAGTATGCTGTGGAAATCCTATATTGACTAGAATTATAGCCAAAATATTGTATATAAGCGGGGCAACCCACATTATCCCATAAGCTTGTTAGATTCAAAAAAATTATATTAATTAGATTGGTATTAATTAATGTCATCTCTCTAATCCATATATCTTTACAACCTTTCATTATAATATGAGATAATTTAGGTTATGAAAAAACACCTCAAAATATTATAATATTTATCTATTTTCTCTCAAGTTGGTATCAGAGGTTTACGCTGTGTTGGCTCTGTTCGCCGCCTGCTGCCACCAGTCACCCTGCCACTTGTCGCCATCAAAATTAAGATTATGAGTAAGATGATAAAAGATTCATAAAATCGTAAATAGTAAAATCATCATAACATGAATAGATCTTACTTTTATATATTATAAAGTCAATATTAATATAATAATAAAATAAATATTAAGTCATACATTAAAATCAACATAGAAAAAAGCTAACAAAACACAACTCATAAAATAAAATAAAATTTTTTATTTAGTTTTAAAGACAAAAAAAACTTTCACATTACATCAGGAAATAAAAACAGTTTTTTTTTACTGTTTAGAAATGCAAATTTGCTGAACAATTTGAACAGTTTTTTTCTATGGTTAAATGCAAATCAGCTAAAGAATTTGAACCGTTTTTCTTTTTTCACTATTTCGAACACAAGCCCAGCCCGCTGGAGAATTTGAACAATTTTTTTTTTTTACTATTTCAAACGCAAGTCGCAACCCTTCATCGGTGATGCAACCCCAACCCTTCACCGGCAGCGCATCCCCAACCTGTGACACGCGACGTGCGATGCAGTCACGACCGACGATGCATCCCCAACACATGACGCAGCCCAACCCGCGACACAATCTGAACAGCAACCTAGATCACGATTATGCGGCATTTTTTATCTTTGGACGGCGATTCCCACCATTCTATCCTGTTCCAATCTCGCATGAAATCTGAATCGATGATAGTTTGTAGAATAGTAGAATTGTACGATTCCACTATTTTCCTCTTGTGTTTGACTACATTGATCGCTGCCAATCACTGCCACCACCATCTTCGCCGTCTCCCGGTTGCCATCGTCCGCCGTTGCCGTTGCCGCTGCCTGCCGTCCGTTTGGGGCTCCTCTCTTTGTTTTCTCCTTTGTGTGCTGTCTTATCTCCTTCGGGTCAGAAATGAACTCTGGACCAATGTTTCTCAAGGATCCTTCCATCACATCACAAAAACTTAATGGGAAAGGAGTTCGTGGAACTAGACGAGCACGTAATGGTAAAAGACGTTCTCAATGTCCGCACTGTAAAAAAATGAGGCATACCTAAGAATTGCTATTTTCTTCATGGATTCCATAAAATAACCAATGTCTCGACATCTACAGTTATTGATCAAAAAAATTTTGATGCCGAATATTAAGAATATTTAAGATTGAAGAGTAAAATGTCTACCCTCAACTCCCAGCACCTCTACTGCCAATATTTCACAATAAGTGGAGGGTCAAAGTCTATGAATTATTGACTAAGGTGTTTCTAACTATTCATCTAGCAATAACTCTATATTCTCTTCTCTTTCTTATCCTAAAAATCATTTTATAACCCTAGCCAATAGATCTAAAATTACTTCTCAAGGAATTGGTTAAGGATCTTTTTCTTCAACCTTACACTTAAAATTTGTTCTCCTCATCCCCGTCTGGCCTTTTAATCTCATTTTTTTAAGTTAGCTAACAAAATCATTAAATTATTCTATGACCTTCAATGTCAATTCTATTGTTATACAGGAACCTTAAACATTTCGATTGATTGGAGAAGAACATGAATCTAAAGTCTCTACTATTTTGGATCCAGCTCATCTTTGTCGTGTTTTGCATCTCCTTCCCATATGCTTTTACATAAAAGTTTGGGTCATCCTCACTTGATAAAGTTAAAAAAAATAATCCAGAACTTAGTCATCTTCAAACTTTAGAATGTGAGTCTTATCAATTAGGAAAACATGTTATGTCTTCTTTTCCTAGACATTCTGAATCTAGATGCGAATTTATTTTTTCAATAATTTAGTCCGATGTTTGGGAACCAAGTTAGGTTTCTTCTTTTAGTTTTAAATATTTGATTACCTTCATTGACGACTTTTCAAAATGTATTCGGGTTTATTTAATGAAATATCGTTCTGAACTTTTCTCTATCTTTACATCTTTCCTTAATGAAATTTTCAATAAATTTGGGAAAGTTATTAAAATGTTAAGAAGTGACAATACCAAAGAATATTGCTTTTCTGATTTTTTTCCCTCTTAAGATCACATGACACCTTATTACTTAAGGTCAATATACTTGTCCATCATTGAGGTGATGCTATCCTCACTATCTTTTTTCTTATTAATAAAATGTCATTATCTTCTCTTAACAATAAAGTTCCTTATTCTTTTCTTTTTTCCAATGAACCTCTCTTTCATGTTTTCCCTCATATGTTTGGATGTATTTGTTTTGTTCATAATATGACTCCAAGATTGGACAACTCTCCACTTGGGTTATCAAGTGTGTTTTCTTGGGCTATTTCTATATTCAAAAAAGATATCATTGTTGCTATCCTGAAACCAAGAAATTTTACATGTTAAGTCTGTCCAATAGGTCCTTCCTATACCATTGATTGAATCTCTTCATCTTTCTACTAACCCATCATCTCCCATTCAAGATCATCTCCCATTCAAGATGCACCTGCTCCATTTGTTCTACGTCTTATTAATTACCAACGCAAGACCCAAGTGACTAGTCCAATGCTTCAAGACAAGCCCTCTTCATCAAGTACTTCTCAATCGTCGCCCTCTTCCACAATTCCTAATAATGATGATTTAACTTGGCCCATTGTCCACCATAAAGGTACTTATACTACCCGTAATCCACGTCCTATCTATAATTTTCTTAATTATCACAGACTATCTCCTTCTTATTGCTCTTTTATATCCTCCATCTCTTCAATTACTATTCCTAAAAATGTGAATGAAGTACTTGATTATCCTATATGGAGACAAGTCATGATTACAGAAATATAGACCCTTGATCATAACAATACATGGGGATTAGTTCCCCTTCTAACCGAGAAGAAGACTCTCGAATGTCGATGGATTTATAACATTAAAGTTGGTCTCAATGGTGAAATAAATCGTGTGAAAGCCCGACTGGTTGTAAAAGAATATACTCAGATCTACGGCCTTGATTACAGTGATACTTTTTCTCCAGTGGCCAAAATGACCATTGTTCGTCTCTTTTTTGCTATGGCAATTATTCAACATTGGCCACTTCATCAATTGGACATTAAAAATGTCTTCCTTCATGGTGATCTAGGAGATCTATATAGAGCAACCTCTTGGTTTTGTTGCTCACGGAAAGTTTGGTTTGGTGTGTAAGTTGTGTTGTTCTTTTTATGGTCTACAACAATCTCCACAAGCTTGGTTTTGAAAATTTAGTTCCATTGTTCAAGTCTTTGGGTTCAAATGTAGTGAAATAGACCATCAGTTTTCTATTGTCACACATCCCTTGGAAAATGTGTTTACTTAATAGTATATATGGATGATTTTGTCATTACAGGAAATGATGTCACTAGAATATCTAAATTAAAGGAATACTATGTAGTCATTTCCAAACCAAGAATCTTGGAAATCTTAAATATTTCTTAATATTGAACTGGCCCTGTCAAAAGAAAGTGTTGTAATCTTTCAAAGAAAATATGATCTTGATATTCTAAAAGAGACCAGTTTGATGGATTGTAAACTTGTAGATAGCCTTATGGACCCAAATTAGAAATTAATGATAGGACAGGGGGAAGTTTTCTTTAACCCAAAAGAATATAGAAGACTAGTTGAGAAACTAATTTATCTTACTATCACTAGACTTGATTTGTCATTCGTAGTAGGTGTTGTGGGTCACTTCATGCAGGTTCTTTGTCCTGATCATTGAAATGTTGTCCTTCGTATCCTAAGATACATAAAAAAAACTCCGGAACAAGACTTATTATATGAAGATAAAGGAAATATTCAAGTTTTTTGGTATTGTGATGTTGATTGAGCAGAGTCTTCTATGAACAGACGCTCCACTACAGGATATTATGTTTTTCTTGGAGAAAATATCATTTCTTGGAAAAATAAGAAACAAAATGTAGTTGTCCGATCAACTGCTGAAACTGAATACCAGAGAATGATGCCTCTTACTTGTGAGCTTGTGGGTAAAACAGTTCCTCCAAGAATTAAACTTTTGTAGGGTTCAACAAATGAAAATTATTGTGATAACCAAGTTGGTCTCCACATTACCTCAAATCCAGTATTTCATCAAAGAACAACACATAGAGAAATTGATTATCATTTCATTCGGGAAAAGTTGTTGCCTAAAGAAATCAGTACTAAATTTGTCAGGTTCAATGATCAACTTACAAATGCATTGACAAAATCTCTGAGAGAACCTCGAATTGAGTTTATTTGTTTCATGCTTGACACATACAATATGTATGTTCCAACTTGAGGGAGAGTGTTAGATTCACAAGATTTATATTTACTATATTGGTATTAATTAGTTGTATATATCTCTGAGTTGTATCCTCTAGAAGTTAATCTTTTCATCTCCCCTCTAATCAATGTATCTCTACAACCTTCTATTATAAATATGAGGTGATTTGGGTTGTGAAGAAACACCCCAAAATATTATAATATTTCTCTTCTAATTTTTCTACACTCTTAGAGCTCAAATCTAAATTCTAAGAGCACAAAGCCCACTCTCATGTATAGGCTGTTCTAGTAGGAACCTATGGTATGGAAATGTTGAAAAGTCCAAGATTGTCTACCTTAATTTCCAGGGTGTGACTTAAATACATTGGATAACTTTAATTAATGTTGATCAGTTTTAAGACGAAATTAAACAACATATATGCATTTGGTCCAGTTGCTACGAGGTAATAAGAGGACGTCCCAAAACGTCATTCATTGTGATACGAGCACACTTAACAAGAAGTTATGATGAAAACTAAAATGATTTATTGCAAGCATTTAGCTTACCCTTGATTTGATATCTTTACCATTGAACAATCAAATATAAATAATCAGGAGCTCACCAAATATAATCATTTCATTAAAAAAAATGGCACTTTTGTTGAATTTCAAGCATAACTATCTAATTTTGGAATGTTCAATTTTTTGGAAAATAGGAGAATTTTGAACTAAACATTATACCTGACGGAGCAAAGGCATTTGGGCAAAGGTGTTGGATGATGAGTGAGCCTGAACAACAAAGTAGAGAAACTTTCTGCAACTTCACTAATCCCAAACACAATGTGATGGCGGGGCACAGAAAGCACAGATGCCTTGTTATGAGAAACAGTGTAATGAGTCGAGAGACATCGTTTGATTAAGAAAGGGTTTGAGGGTAAACAAATAATTTAATTACTTTTCTACAAAATCTCCCAAATTTGGGAACCTGGAAATTGAGAGAACCTAAACTTGGACAACTACTTTATTTTTAATATCTTATCACATTCCTTTAGTATTCTAGCAATTATAGCCAATCAGCATGCCAATGACAGATGTTTCCATTTCTTCCTGCAAAATATCGAGCTACATTCCAGGTTCCTTTCTTCAAACCCCAAAAAGACTTTTAATGGAAGTACATTTCTGTGTAATGTTAGCAGTAGCCTGCTCTTTCATTAACAAACATCGTGAACTTCTTCAAATACAATTGATGATATAAATATATTTTGGTCCCTATGATTTACTTTAATTTTGGTTTGATTCATATACTTTTAAAATTAAGATTTCGGTACTTATAGCTATAAAAAGTTTCATTTTGGTCCCTACTACAAACAATATGCCAAAACATGTCTTGTAGGGTACAACCATTCGGACCAATGTCTAGGGTGTACTTGAGAAACCAAAACCAGAACCAAACTAGAATAATACAATAAGAATCCAAACCAAAACAGAATAAACTAGGCTAAGGTCTTGTTTGGATAAAGTTCTAAAAACAACTTATGAAAGAAGAAAATAAAAACTGGGTAAACTAAACTTGTAGAAGTTTAAACATCAAATTATACACCTCGGTTTTTGGAAAAGTAAAATGAGTTTCTATAAAAATTGTAGTGCACGAGTTCATATATCTTATGGAAAATGGGAGAAGTTTAATTCATTTTTCTTCTGCCATAAGTACTAATTGAGAAGTTTATCCAAACTGGATTCAAAACCTAAATTAATAAAACTATAAGGACCACAAATCAAACTATAAAGTATAGGGACCCAAAACCAAAATCAAGATAAACTATAGGAACCAAAAATATATCAAGACCTAATTGAATTGTCCCAAAAGAAGTCAGAAAGAACCTCAATAATATTTGACTCCATCCATCCATATGGTTTTTCTTGACTTTTCCTTTTTTTCTCTTACCTTTTCTTTACCACACTGTTATCTTGGTAGCTTCTTCTATTTCTTTCATTTTGAATTAAGTTTCTCAAACATATCACTTGAAGCCCCCCACACCAAGTTTCGCCCCTTTGACATTGCAACATTAGGAGGGACTGCAGCCTCCGACTCAATTCCCAACCTCTCAACATTAACCTTTTAATTCCAAGTTCTAAACCTTTTCCCTTCATGATCATCACTCATTTAATGCACTCTCCTCTGATGAGCAGACCAGTATCAAGATTATCACCTTGGCTTTGGCCTCATTTTTCTCAGTTTCCTTGTCTTCATTAGTCTGCAATGTAGAAAACCCAAAGCCAAACTTAGTTAGGATATATATCTTGGACTTAAATTAGATATTGTAAATCTATTGCAAATTTTACTTTTACGTAGGAAACAGTCAAGTTGATCTTAAAACTTTGACTATACATGATAAGTTACAAATTCAACAGAATATCTTCTATCATATGCTCATCCAGAAATTTAATATATACTCAGTGATAAGATATAGACTTGAACTCAATTAACAACAGACTAATGTAATACGGAGTACAAATTTTAGACAACAGAAAAATGTTGAGGAATTATGCTCCTGTCCCATATGCAAATCTTTAGATGTTATTAATTCTAAAGGAAGAGACAATATAGAGTTTAAGGCAGACAGACAACTGTGAGGAAGATAATTTTCCCTAGGCATTGTGAACTGAGGACAAGGGTTAATGCTAACATGTGCAGCTCACAGCAACGTTCAAAGTAAAAGTCCAGTTTAGACAGCTTTCAGTGAAAACGGCTTCGTGGAGTGTGCATGTGGGCCACATATAGCAGTGTCATTGATTTAGATATTAGAAAATAACTTTGAAAAAGAAAAGGACAACCTGTTACTCGAAGCTATAAAGTTTGAGCGGGGAAGGAAGGACCAGACCGATTAAAGATTGATTTAAGGCAGGCTTACCTATCATATGCGACAGGCTGATTCCATGACTTGAACCTATGACCTCCTAGTTGGACTTCAACAACTCTAACTGTTGCACCTAAGTTGCCCTTCCTCTTAAAAGGCTACTTAAATTTAAAAATCTTACACCAAGGTTAGAAGGATCTTTAAGGAAACATAGCCAATAATATGACATGACACAAGATTAGTTGCTTTTGCACCAAAAATTGTATAGCTAGCAATTAGGTCAAAAATAAATGGGTCAAAAGCATCAATAAAAAGTCAAATAGTGCTGTAACAGAGAATACTTGTTTAGAACTAAATAGGTTGAAACATCAGCAAAGGCAAGAACTCATTAACAAAGCCTATAAAAATGGAAAATTCTCATGCTGAAAACAAAAAGCATATCAACAATTCAACAATAAACCCTTTTAGTTCTCTCTCTCTCTCTCTTTCACACACAGACACACAATTTCCCAGGAAGGACTTTTCTTAACTTACATTGGTGAGATTTATGTACAGCACCATGATGTGTGCATATTTTGATATATTTATGCTGAAAAGGACAAAATTATAAGAAACTCTCACCTCACTGCGTTAACTCCCACCTAATCATTTGTTTGCTTTTCCCTGGTTACATGATGAACCCGTGCAATAACTGAGATGCAAATTGATTTACCAGCTAAACTTTTTCCTCTCCAAGGAAGTCAAAGAGGAAGCCCAGTTTTTTTCAGTTTCTCAGAATGAGAATTTTTTTTAACATTGTCATATCATTAAGCTTCATTTTTAGTATTTTCCTATCGAACACTAATAATGAGAAAAATCAACATCTTTTTTTGCATTTATATGCAATAATATAGTAGCAAGACAAGTAATAAACTGAGCAGGCACATGTGATTCACCAAGACATTCAACAGATATATAAAACCATAATTGGGCTTTCACCTTATCATTAAACTTTTGGGAGATGTGGTTGTTAACAATGTTCAGTTCTAATTCCCAGATCAACGCAAGCCCAAATAAAGTTAAACTAATCAAATCTTAAATCCTGCCAGTGTACAATACAATCTCGTGACCACATACTAAAAGCAGGAGGCAGACATACACAAGCAAGATTTGATATCATAACTTCTCTAGAAGTAACATAGATTCACTATACTTACAAAATATTCTCCATCGCCTGCAGTTCCGTAGATTCAATCACATTTTAGACTGACAACGTTCTCAAGACCACCTCAATCACAGAATAAAATTATGCTTCCCTTGCAGCCCTTAGAAAAATAGCTGCTATTATCCTCCATGGAAAAACACGCATAAAAGCCCTCCACAATAGGTAGTAATAACCAATAATATTCATCTTAAAAAAGGGTGACCAATTCCGCAATGGTTTCTTACTGTATATGACAACATATTTTGACCACTTGTTTATGTAATGCTCAATCAGGCCAATGAATGAGTTCAATGTATTCTTCTCACCATTACATAAAATCATGGCAGATTTCAAGGATAATAGAAAGATGAAACACTAAGTTCACAAAGCAACGAATAGATTTTCAATCAAATTTACACTATTTTCAATCTTCTGAGGTTTATTTCTTGAAAAATAGTCAAATGTAATGTACATGAGGAAATCCATAAAAAGGCCCTTTTCGTATGTTTCTCTCACAAGTTCAGCGTCATCTTGTTTCAAACTGTTAGCTTGGTCCAGTATTGTATATGAGATTTCATCAAAATCAAATGAAATTTCCATTAACTTTTTACCCCAAAGTAACGCCTTCTCTGGCATCCCCTGCTTGCAAAATTGTGACAACAACATATTGGTTGTAATCACATTTGGAATAAAACCCATCTTAAGTAATTTTGCAGTAAGAATCATAGCTCGATCTAATATATCACTACAAATACCATTCAACATAGTGTTGTATGTCACTGTGCCTGGAACAATACCAGCGGAGATGAGCTGATCCAAAATGATTACTGCTTGATTCATTTTTCGCATCCTGCAGTAACCATGCATTCGCACATTATACGTTGTGATATCTGGGTGAAGTCCACATGAGTACATTCTATTAACCATGTAACCTGCACCAACCATGTCAAATGCTTTGCAGTAACCTCCGATTAATATGTTAAATGTGAAAATATCTGGCAGCAAACCAATCCGTTGCATGTCATTAAATATATCAATTGCAAACTTCATTTGTCCCCGTCTACAATAACCATCAATGATGATATTGAAGGTGAAGGTGTCAGAAAGAAGGCCTTTTTGCCTCATCTCTTTCTCCAACTTTAATGCTTCAGTCATCCTCCCGCAATCGCAGAGGCCACCAATCAAAGAATTGTAAGCAAAATTATTTGGGACAAAACCCATAGCTGACATTTGTAAGAACACTTCATATGCCTCCTCGACCTTACCTGCTTTTGAAAGCCCGTCAATTAAGGCTGTAAAGGCAACAACATCTGGATACATACCTCTTTCTTTCATTTGCTTCCAGAGAAACCGAGCCCCATCCAAATCATTCATCTTGAAATGTCCATCCAGAAGCACCGTGTAAGACACTTTGTTGATGGGAAACCCCTTCTCTAGCATTCCATAAAAAAGTATCCTAGCTTCTTGCAACCATCCTTTCCTACACAAACTCATGAGCAAAGAATTACAAGTGGACGATGAGGGAGTTAAACCGCACTTGACCATAATAAGATAGGCTTCAAAAGCTTTGTCTTCTAAACCTGCCCTGCTATAGGCTCCTATTAACGAGTTAAAGGCGACAACACTAACAGTTAGTCCCTTTTCAAGGATTTCTAGCAATAATGCCATGGCCTCATCATGTCTGCCAGTCCAACATAGCCCAGACACAGTAACATCACAAAGTGAACAATCTGGAAACAATCCTGATACAATCAAATCTTTCAAAAACCTGTCCCAATCCTCTTTTCTCCCATACTTATAATGCCCTCCAACCAAAATATTGAAAGTCACACAATCAGGTGAAACACCCTTAGTTCTCATATCTTCATAAAGCAAGCTAGCTTGACCAACCTCCCTCGCCTTGAAATATCCATCCATCAGTGTATTATACATCGCAGCATTTGGAGCAATTCCCATGTCCTGAATCTCATCTAAGAGCTTATGCGCCTTCCCCACATTCCCTTCACGGCAAAGTGCATGCATAATGGTAGTAAGCGTGGCAAAACTCGGTTCACAGCCACTATTAAGCATCAAATGCAGCCAATCAAAGGCAACCGAAGTCCTCCCCCTAACACAGCACGCATTAATAAGAATGTTAAAAGTAATAACACCAGGACTACACATAAACTTAGGCATCAAATGCAACAAACTCTCTGCAACCGCAACCTTCTGCTGTCTACAAAACCCATAAATCATCATATTAAACGTGATATTTGAAGGACAAGGCCCTTTATGGATCATATCCCTAAACACCTTCCACACACTACCATAATCACCAACCCTAAGCAACAACCTTAAGAGAATAGTCAGCGAAGACAAACCAGGCCTGACTCGCACATCCCTCATCATACGCAAAACCTCCAACGCCTCAAGACTCATACCCAAATTCAGAAACCCCCGCAAAAGCGTATTCAATACAGAAAAATCAGACTCATACATAGCATGATTCCTCCACATAAACTCAACAATTTCGTTGGTTCTCCCAGCCCCAACCCTCGCAATGAGCCAGGAAACCATGTCCTGCGCGAGCAGTTGAAGCCCCTGGGCCGACAGAACATGCGCGGCGACGCAGCTCAAGCGAACGGTCTCCTCGGAATTGTCCCCAAACGCTAGTTTGAAGAACGCAAACGCGGCGTGGCGAGTGTCAAACATCTTCATGATCTTGACAAGAAAGAAGGGGCAGAAGCGGAGGGAGAAAACCTTGAGCGCGAAAACCTGGTCGGTTTTGATGGCGGTGGATAGGCCGAGGACGAGTAGGCGGCGTTCACGTGCGGTGATAGTGTTGAGGGGTTGGAAGGTGGAGTGGGCGAGAGGGAGAAACTGAGAGAGATAGTGAGAGGTGTGGGAATTGGAAGTGGAATAGTGAGAGTGGGAGAAGGAGAGGTTGATGAGGGAGAGGGCATTGAGAGAGGGGTCGATTGAGAGAGAGAGGAGGGGGCGAGAAATGTGGAACTTCGGAAGGGACATTGGGAGGTAGGAGATGGAAGCGCCGGCACATAACAGGTGACCGAGGTTGTCGGAGCTTAGCTCAGGTGAAGGAAGAGTAGAGGGCTCCTTGTGCTCTCCATCCAAGCACACACGCCCCTCAATTAATCCTCTCCCTTGGTGTAATTTTCAACTATCCCTCTCAAATCACCTCTCTAAAAAATTACATGTAAATTTTTATTTTTTTTCCTTTACCCAAATTTGTTTGCCAGACCCTAATTGCTACACTAACGCGGTGTTTATTTTGAGCGGAAACATTACAAGCGAAGAAATGTGATCAAAAATATGCATTTTAATGTAAAAAAATTACAAAATCAGGGTAAGATTTTGTTCTCTTGCATATGCATACAACGAAAGTAATAATGGATTATGTTTTTATATACAAGTAAAGTTATATAATCGATGTTCTTATGTCCTTTAAAAAAATTAATTAATGTGTTTTTTTATTTTATTATTATAATATCAACAAATTATTAAAAATATATATATATATATATATATATATATTAAAATAAAAATTAATCTATTTATCTTTTCATTCATCTTTATATTTTTCTTTTAATTTAAATAATCTTTTTATTCTTTTTCTCACATTTTCTATTCCTTCGAATTTATTTTTCAAGAAACATGAGTATGAGAGAAACTTAATTATCTATTATAAGTACTTTCCTTAGATTTTATGTTTCAATATAATCTAAATTCTTAATTTATTTATAAGAAAAGTTTCTAAACAATTTAATAAACTTAATTCAGTTATGTTGATGAGCTTAAAAATATTAATAACTTCTTTACATAATACAAATAAGTTTTGTTTGATATAGGTACTATTTTTTTATTTCCCAACTTTTTTTAATTTAGTCATTAATTAAGTCAACATGTTTATTTTTATTAATATTATTAAATTTTCTAAAAAATTATATAATGTAATATGGATATAATCATACGTCATAAAATATTATATATATATATATATATATATATATATATAATATGTATTAGTAAAAATTAGAAATATTAATTTAAATTTTCATATTTTTTAATGATAGAAGTGTCAAAATAGACTTAGTTTGATGATTAACTCGAAAGACTTGAAAAATAGATTAGGTTAAGCTAAAAAATTTATGATCTAAATAAAACTAGACCAATTTTAGTTTGACCTATTTTGGTTATGGTTTATATGAGCTTAGGTCAGGTCAAGCTAGGTCGTAGGCATATAAGCTGATCCGTTTTATAAAATAGTAATTATTTTAAAATAAAATAAAAGTGATATTATATATATATATATATATATATATATATATATATATATATATATAATTTAGAAAGAATAACATACTCTAAACATAAACTTATCATGTTCCTCTACTAATGTGCACACTTCCAACCCCTCTTAGCCTTTATGTATGTCTCGATGTATATTTTGTACAAGTATTTTGATTTTTGTTATCTTGTCTTCTGATTTAATTTTATTTATTTATTCTCACATTACTTGGTTGAAGGGTAGAGAAATATAAATGTAATTTATTTAAGTATCATGACGTGGGAGTGAGTCTTATATTGGATAATAAGGCTAGTTTGTTGAAAGAATAAAAATTTGACTCTAAATTTGATCGAGAGATGCACTTGCTATATGTATTACTAAGCAGTGGCGGATCTTGACCAGTAAGTCTGGGGGGGCCAATTATAAAAAAAATTATATAATAATAAATAAAAATAAAATATTTATTTAAAATTGTGCCCTTCGTTCTTTTAAATGTTTGAACTCATCAATAATGGAATCAGAACTAAAGTTTTCAACTATTTCTTTCTCAATATAAATGATCATATTATCTGCAAGAATTTCATCTTCCAGTCTATTTCGCAGTCTTGTTTTGATAATCTTCATTGTAGAAAATGATCTCTCAGTTGTAGCTGTAGAAACAGGAAGAGTTAAAATAAGACGAATTAAACGATCTATTAAGTAAAATGTACCTGACTTACCTGTTTTTGTCAAAGATTGACATAATTCAAGCATGGTAGACAAATTCTTCAAATCTGGATGGTTAGGAGCATCAAGTATAAAATGATGAAGTTGAAATTTTAAATTAATCTTCTCTTGTTCACTAAAATCCAAAGGATAAAATTTGTTCACAAGTGTACATATATGATCAATGTTAAAATTTTTATAAACATCATTTGGAATTAAAGCATTGCTTAAAGTTAAAAGTTCCATTGTTTTCTCACTAAACCTATCATTTAATTCTTGTAATTGTTTATCCACTGTAATAAAAAATATGTTCACCCTAAAATGATGTTCTACTGTAATACAATCTTTTTGATGTCGAGAACGACCATGATGTGCTACATAGGTAGAATTAAAATTAGGAATATCAATGTCATGTTGTTCACAAAACAATATTACATCTTTCAACAAATCTTGCCAACCCTCTTCTCTTAACTTTTGAATCAAAATTTTAGTCGAATAGACTAACTGCATAGCATTATGTATATCCTGAGATTGTTTCTGTAAAGCTTGACAAAGACAATCAGTAATTCACATGATTTCTTTCATCATGTGTAAAATCAATACAAACTCAAACTCAGACAAAATATTATAAGCAGCATCAACATCACCCCTTTGAGAATAAGTTGAACCATCAATTATAATTTTTTGGAGAACTAAACAAGATGCACTATACAATTTTATCATACTACAAATGGAATGAAAATGTGAACTCCAACGAGTATCACCAACTCGTTTTAAAGTGCCAATTTGATTTTTTCCTTTACCAGTTTCAAGTTCACCAAGTTCTAACAATTTTGCTATTTTATCTAATTCTGCACTTTGTAATTCATCATGACGTTTACTAGATGAACAAACAACATTTATAATAAAAGCCAAATTTGAAAAAAATTGATGAACTGGAATAACTTCTCTTGAAGCAGCAACCAAAGCAAGTTGTAATCTATGAGCAAAACAATGTACATAATAAGCATAAGGATTATCATGAAGAAATAATGCTTGTAATCCATTCCATTCTCCTCTCATATTACTAGCACCATCATATCCTTGCCCACGAATATTGGAAACATCAAGATTATGTCTAGAGAGAACAACACATAATTCTCTTTTAAGAGTAGCAGCTGTAGTATCCTTAACATGCACAATATCAAAAAAGCGCTCTTTAATATTACCCATTTTATCTACAAATCTCAAAACAATAGCCATTTGTTCTCTTCTAGATTCATCACGAGCTTCATCAACAATTATACAAAATTTTGAGTCACCAATTTCTTCACGAATATAATTTCTTACTTTTCTAGAAAAAATTTGCAAAATTTCCTTTTGAATATGATGAGAAGTATATTTTGAATTATAAGGAGCATTTTTTAACACAACTTGTGCTACTTTATCATTGTATGATGCTAAAAGTTTAATCATCTCAAGAAAGTTACCTCTGTTACTTGAATCTGGAGTTTCATCATGGCCTCTAAATGCACAAGCTTGAAATGCTAACCAACGAATTGTATCAATAGAAGTTTTAAGCCGTAAACGATTTTTATAAACTTCTTCTAAATTTTGCACATTTATAATGTTGTCAATGTGCTTAGATTGATTCAATAAGTCTGTACATGCTTTTATTGCATTGTTATGTGGTGAACAAGGACTATCTCCAATATGACTAAGAAACGCACAATTCTTTCCTGAATTAACCTTTTTCCATGATCTAAATCCTTGTCTAATAAACACATCTGCCCCAGGACGACCATTTGATAGTGTACTAAATAGATAACATGGCAAACAATAAGTTCCATCACTAGTTGGAGAATACTCTAACCAAGAAGGAAACATTTTAAACCAACCATATTGAAATCTCCTAAGATGTTTCTCTTTAGAAAAAGGATAATTTTTAAGTTGTATTTGATATGGACCCCAATTTAAATAAGCTCTTCTAATTTCATCTCTTTGATTCAAAGGATATTCATGTATCTGAAGACGTTTTCCTGGGTCACGCTCCAAAGAATTAATATTAAATTCATTAGTTTTAATTCTATGAATCTTAGAAAGGGGTTCTTCTAATTGAATAATTGGATCATCATCAATATCATGCTTTGAAACAGGAGAAGATGTTGAATTTGTTTGGTTTTCATCTCTACAAGTATCTCTTTTATCACTTTTAAAAAATGAATCTATTCTTTTATGCTTCATATCTAGAGAAAAATGAATCTATTATTAATTTTCTAATTATAGAATCATAAAAATTTATAAAAAACAAAAGCAGTTTTCTCAAACAACAAATGTTCTTCAACAAAAATCAAAATAACAAACAATAATAGAATAAACAGTGAAAAGATGAAGAAAAAGTACCTTTATCAATCAATATAATTTCAAGTATGGAATCTGAGAAGGGAGGATGAGAGATGAACAATGAATTTGAAAGTACAAACTACGTAAATAACTTAATATTAATCAATCAATATTACCGTTTGTGAGTGAATATGAAAAGGTGAGAGAAGATGAAAAAGTACTTTTAACCTTTCTTATTTAATATATTTTTTAGAAATTAGAGAAGCAATTAAATACTAATAAAATATTACCAGTTAATGAGAGAGTATGAAAAAGTAAGAGAAGATAGAAAGGTCAGATAATAAAATTATTTTTAATCTTTTTTATTTAATTTAGTCCTTCAGTTTTTTCTTTATGATATATTTAATATTGGGGGGCCAAAATCATAAATATACAAGTAAGTTACAAAACTTTGGTAGGGCAATGGCCCCCTTAATTACTATGAAGATCCGCACTCGTTACTAAGCATGATCTTTTATTTAACTATGTATGAGCAAGTGTGGGAGGTAAATAAAGTTTTGAATCCTGATTTTATACCAATTACTAGAAACACTTCCATTAATTATGTTTATAACGTGTATTTAACATAGAACGAGTTAAAGGATGTGTTATCTAATATTTGTCATAAAATAGGTTTGACTTGTATGGACAATTATAACTTCTCAAAGCTAAAATTGGAATAAGTTACTTTTATTTCACACTATTAGAAAAATGGTTAATAGTGATTGAAATTAGTGATCGAAAAATTCGATCACTCGATAGTAACTCGAATCAATGACTGATTTCCCATTTTATATTTAGTGACTGATTTAGTGACTAAAATTTCAGTCACGGAAATCGGTCACTGATTCGGTCACCAAATCAATCACTGATTCGATCATCAAATCAATCACTGATTCGGTCACTATTAGAAAAATGGTTAATAGTGATC